TGTAAAAATGTCATTTTAAACTTCGTTTAACACAACGGTGGAATCAACCCTTAGTCACGTTAATAAAATGTTACATTACAAACCCCTAAACAACTCGAACATAATTTTCGTTTAGTAAAAAAAAATCCAAAATTTAGCAATATTTATTTATTATACAAGCGAATGCGATTTCAAAGATAACTGGATCAAAAAATCCGAATCTCTAAATTTTGGAGCTAAATGCTCAGATAAAAGCAAGCGACCGATAGGGTTACAAAAATAATCGATTTATCGATAATTCTGATATTTTTTAATGAAAATCGATTTATCCGCTGTTTTTAATAAATTATTTTCGTTTTTTTTTAAGATAATGTATTAATCGGTTTTAAAGGAAATATAGAAAAAGTAGATTTATTCAAAATTATCGATTTATCGTTTAATCGGTTTTTTAATTATTTGATTATTTTCGATTTTTCAAAGATATATGAAAATAATCGATTGAATATAATCGGTTATTTTACATAATCGATATTTTGGTTATTTTTTTAAAATTATCGATTTATTGGATAATCAGCTTTTTAATAATCAATTATTTTCGATAATCGAATAATCAATTTCAAAGGAAATATGAAAAAAGGATTATTAGAAAATAAAAGATAATTCGTTTTATTTTTGAAAAATCGATTTATCATAGAATCGGCTTCTTAATTAATTGGTTATTTTCGATTAGGCGATTATTTGGAATTATTGATTATTTTTGGTATTTCAAAGATAACCGAATTATCGATTTTAAAGGAAATACAATAAAATAGATTATTGATAATAATCGATTGATCGAAAATAATCGATTATTTAAAATAATCGATCATTCTGTTTTTTTTTGAAAATCGATTTGTCAGTTAATCGACTTTTTAATTAATCGAATATTTTTGAAATACAATAAAATAGATTATTGGTAATAATCGATTTATCATAGAATCGGCTTCTTAATTAATTGATTATTTTCGATTAGGCGATTATTTTGGAATTATCGATTATTTTCGGTATTTCAAAGATAATCGAATTAACGATTTTAAAGGAAATACAATAAAAATAGATTATTGATAATAATCGATTGATCGAAAATAATCAATTATTTAAAATAATCGATCATTCTGTTTTTTTTTTAATCGATTTATCAGTTAATCGACTTTTTAATTAATTGATTATTTTTTGATTAATCGATTATTTTCGATTTTTCAAAGATTATCGAATAATCTGTTTCCATGGACGAAAAAAAATGGTTTATTTGAAAATAATCGATTATTTAAAATAAACGATAATTCTATTTATATTATACTTTGTAAACACTGATTTATCGGTTAATTGGCTTTTTAATTAATCGATTATTTTTGATTTTTCAAAGATAATCAAGTAGTCGATTTTAAGGAAATGACAAAAAATATATTGTTTGAAATAATCTATTGATCGAAAATAATCGATTATTTTCAATTATCGATAATTTATTTCGATAATCACTCATCCTAGCGACCAAATGACTTTTAATAGATTTAAATTTTAAAATGTTATCTGGTTTCAGACATATGCATTTCTAGAGTTTTATGTGACTCATCCTTTATAATAAATAATATTCTTAAAGAAAGAAGCCTTAATATACTTTTTCTGAGGTTACAATACAAAACAGCATTTTCTCATTTTGACTAATTTTTAATAATATGTAATAGCCGTAGAAAAAATATAATGTTCAACTCATAAGGGTAGATTTGCAGTATTAGCCTGCACACATGCTCTTTTTATAATACTCGTAGACAATGAGTAACATTTTTTGCTCTATTAACAATATATTCTATTTCAACATTTTACTGTAATCTCTTGCAGAAAAGTCCGTAGTAAATAAACGCTAACGAAATATTCTATAAAAGGTCTTCTCTTTACATAAAATGTCGTGGCATTGATATTAAAAAATCACGATAATTTGATTTCATAATACAAAATTCGATTAAACACCTTTTAAATAAACCTAATAGTTCATTAAGTTGCTAATAAACAAAGTCCGGTCCCTGTCACAGAGTTCGGGTCGGCCGCGTGTCGCCGCCCAGTTCCCCCACTCCGTTAACCCTTCTTTAGAATTTGGCAAAATTTGCGCAGGTTTAAAACTGGTGTATGTTATATCTCTGGTCTCTTTTATCTAAGAGTTTAAAGGATGAAATTATTTTTTACGTGTCCTGTTTCTTTATTAAATAAAAAAATAATAAAAAGTTACTTTAAAAACCAGAGTTAAAAAGTACATATTTTCCATTTTTTTTTTTTTAATCTAAACAGAATTACAAAGTAGATATTTTTCTCTAGAACATCAAAAACACTAGTGCCGGATGTGACAACTTTCCAATAATATTTCTTTAAGAATATTGGCAACAGTTGGTATGAAATTACCTGGTCAGCTTCGCCCTTCGCCTTGAATCTTCTTTGCAACGGAATTGACCTTGTCTTTTTCAGCGATTGCTGATTTCGTGGCCAGGACAGTTTTTCCTCCTCTTTTAGCTGGAAAAGCTGGTCTGCCTGCGACTTTCGTTTCGCTGGGGCCGGCTTGCTCAATTCTGTTGTTTTCAGCTTGGCACCTTTTTTAATTTTTAATCATTTTTTAAAAAATATGTTTCTTACCTTCATTTACTGTATAATTTATAATAAAATTCTATTTAATTCATTGTAATCATTTGCTGTTTAAAATTTAAAAGTCCCGCCATAACTTGATCTTGCTTGCTCAGGGGTACCAACCTACTATTATCATTTTCAATATCAACCTTTTTGACAATTTTTCACGAAATCCATTTCAATTTCTCAAGTTGGCATTTTTCTTGACAACTTCATTGTCAAATGTTAATTATCACTCATTTTGTTTTGGGAACATTGTTAAGATGGTCACTGGTTTAAAAAACTCTGCGAATTTTTTGGACCACAACTTGCCTTCGCCTCACGAAAATAATTGGCAAAATCTTGCTGTCTTCATGTGGAGTGTTTAGTTCTACATGGTCGGATGAACCTTCACTTAATTTGTTAAAATCTAACCACATTTTACACTGGGTCATTTACCGAATTTCAGTGTGGTTTTTCAATTTTCAATTAACTAAGCTGCAAGCTATTGTGGAGACTTGGGACCGGTCTGTTGCTGTCCCTTATTAATTTAGTTTGCTTTTTCATGTGTCTTCTAAAGTTTTTTTGGCAAGTGTACAAATTTTTTTTTTATTTTTTAGTAATGAGAGTTTATTGTATTGTAAAAGCTCCGTTTTTCTCTTATAGAGTCTTTGATGATGGCTTAAGAGGCTGAAAGCGCTCAGACGAATTATTTTATAGAGTGTTATTGAATAAAGATGGGCTATAACTGCATCAAGAAAGTTTCTAATAATGTATTTTTTTATTTTCTTGTATATTTGATTAAGAGTTGTTAGCGGCCGTATCTCAGAATATCTTGAAGAATAATTACAAAAAAAAAAACACAAAAAATGGGCGATTTTTATTTCAAGTGGGACACCTTTTCATCATATCCTGAACTGTCCTATGTTATTCTTCTCCCCTCCAGCACTCTGACTAATATGATTTAGATAGGGAAAGTACCAAGTATGATGCATCATCGGAAAGATCATTTAAAGAGGAATTGGGAATTCAGCAATACCTATTACTGTGCATTGGATTACTTTTAATTTTAGCGCCAGTTATGTATTTTAGAGTGTGACATTTAATTTAAAAGAATATTTTATTAGTAATTCAATGCACTACATAATATTCTGTTAGCTAAATCAGAGATGAACTATATATTTAATTTAATATTATGTGGTGCATTGTTATTACTAAAAAAATAGCTTTCAAATGAAGTGTCACACTTTACAAGACGTAAAAATTTTGTATCATGCAATTGGGAGCTAAAATTAGAAGCATCGCAAAATAACCTTATCTTTAATGATTTGTACCTATACACCAACACCTGTTTAATGAGATTAAAAGGTAAAACCCTCATAAAATCTTTTAAATAAAATCCAGGAAACAACTATTCTAATACCTGTTAAATGAGATTGAGGGTAAAAACCCTTAAATATTTTATATAGATATAATAGTTATAGGTATAATGTATTTAGACGCATTTTCATTATCATTATTTAATATTTTAAGTTTGCTTACCTGCTGGATCTTGTTCTTTTAATTATTCTACCTTCTTGGATACAAGCAGGGAGCAAGTGCCACTCTCTTGACCGTTCTTAAAAAGCAGGTGTGCTCCAAAAGGATACCCGAGCGCAAGTACCACGCTTTTTCGTGGAAAGCGCATCTACCACGAACCCAAATAAAACATGTAACGCATTTACACGTTCTGCCAATACTTTTCACGTACCATATTTTAATGGAACTATCTACATCAGTGGTCGCCAACCTGTCGATCGCGAGCTACTGGTAGCTCGCGGAGGCAATTCTGGTAACTCTCACAACGATTTTAATTTAAAAAATACAAACTGCAAAAATCAGAGAAGCTTCCGAAAATTCCACTAAAAAATCTAATTGTCATAATATTAAACATAAACAGCGGCAACGTTGCGGTGAGCGATCTGCCGCTGACGCTATCAAGCTAGAATCGGCTAGAACCGACCAGCCGGACAAGCGCGTTAGTGTTCGAGAACGATCAGAAGCGAGACTCCGTACCAAACAGAATTCTACACATCGAATTCTATTGTAGATTTCTATTATAGAAAGCGATTGTAGCATTTGTTGGTACTCTGTGGTGCTATCGACTACGGTTCGGCCTAAGTTCGGTAGAAAACTATTGAGACTAAAAACATCGGTCTTGAAAGGTTGGCGTTTTGCACTTTAATCGCTCGTTGTCTTTGTTTATTTCCTCACGTAGACAAAGACGAAAATACTCTGTGTCATGGTCATCACATCATAACCTTAAATTTTTTAAGTTAGTTTGTTTATACAATTATTTATATTTTGAGAGTTTAGACCATTATTTAATTGACTTTAAGTATTATATTAAAATGAGGGTAAGGTCAGAACATTGGGAGTTACTCTTAAGTTCTTGTACGACAAATCCTGAATTAATTACTAATCGTTTCAATGGCTCGGAAGGGAGGGCCAAGGGCAACGCATTGTGGCAAACAGTTTCCACAAAATTAAATAGCTTGGGCTATGGAGAGAAAACGGTCGATGGCTGGAGAAAAGTAAGTATTTTTTTTATTAATGATCTAGAAATAACAGATTGTGTTAAAAAAGTACCAAAATAACCTACTGATACTTATTTTTAGACACTCACTGATTGGAAAAGTAAAACCAAATCTAAGGCTGCTGCCTTGAAAAGGGAACAGCAAAAAACAGGTGGTGGCCCTCCTCAGGCTCCTCCTTTATCAACACTAGAAGAGAAGCTGCTGGAAATTATGGGTACGAAAGCCTTGTATGGAGATGAGTTGGTACCTGAACTAAGTTTTGGAAAAGTAGGCATTATTTTATTTCTACATTATAAATTAATTGGGACACTTAAAGATACTTAAAAAAATATTAACATGTTAAAGTTAGGCTTGGTAAAATTTTTTATTAACTTGTAATCTCTTTATTAAAGTGTCCTTGTACTCTTTCACATTGTTTAAAAAGCCATTGTCAGGGAGTCTTTAGGTATAAAATAATAAATATCTCATTTCACAATTGTTTACAGGTTCCCAAACATGTTATGGATTCAAACGAAAATGAAAATCCACAAATAACTGAAACCAACATTACACAAATCACCACATCTACTGAACATGACTATTGTGAAGAGGTGATAGCAGGCAGTAGCAATAAAAATGTAAAAAGGAAGTTAGAGCACCAATGTAAATCTGCAAAAAAGATTTTAAAATCAAGACCAATGCAATCGAATGAGCTTGTAAAGTTAAGTAGTGAAACTGTTTTAACATTAAAACAAATTCTTAATCATACTAATAGCATGTCTCAGTCACTTGAAAAACTCAATAAGAATACAGAAAGTATTGCACAATCCATGTCAATAATTGCTGATATAGCAACAATTTATCATAAATAGAATTTTAAGTATTATTTTATGTTTTGTAACTATACTCCTTAATTTAAGCTTTAAGTGGTAATGGGTAGGTATTTGTGTGTCTTTTGACAGACTTTAGTTGTCTATAAAAAAATACTCATTAATACCAATTACTTAAACCTTAAGTTTTAAGTATTTTTTTCTTTTTTAGAATTATTTCTTTGTGATTTCTTACCAAATGAATCTAATTTTAAGTTCTGACTTGTTGTTCGGTTTAAGTTAGTCTTATAAGTTGCTTATTTTTGATATTAGTTTATTATTTTAGTTATTAAAAACTTGGATTTAATTATCACAAGATTATTTTTTGTAGCAAAAATATGCTGTGATCAAAAATATTTTGTTAAAGGAAATAAATAAATACAGATACATGTTTTGTTTTTGTTACTGGTAAAACTTATATTTCAGATATAAACAAAAACATATATTTTGTTATTTCTAATATAATTAACTAACACTAAAGTGTAAAATATCTTTGGATAATATTTTGTCTATTATCTCCTCCCACCAAGCCGGCATTGTTAATAGGATATTCCTCAGGAGGTGGTATCAGCAAGTCAAAATCTATTTCAGCATCACCATTTAGACAGATATTATGCAAAATAGCACAGGCATTGACAATGTTCCCAACTTTTCCTGGAGAATACCTCAATACTTTTGAAAGGCATAAAAATCTGCCCTTTAATACTCCAATGCATCTTTCAATGCAATTTCTCCCATGTATATGTGCTTGAGTATACCTATATTCAGGTGTACCTGGCAATGCATTTACTATTGGGGTCATTAGCCATGGTTCCTGTGGATACCCAGAGTCCCCTAACAACCAACTGTTCCGTTCACCTATCAAACAAAAATAGTATTAAATTGAAAATATAAGGTAACTTCATCAACAAACTTACCCCTTTGGTAATTTATTTCCAACTCTGCTCTTACTGTAGAGTTTCTCCAGATGAATGCATCATGTGTAGCTCCCGCATATCTGCCATTAACATTTAAAATTTTTAAATTATGATCACAAATCTGAAACAAAAACTAATTAAAATAACTCATCACGCTACTCCTAAATTAAAAAGAAAACTTACCAACTGAATGTTCTTAGAGTGTGTTAGAGTGTGTTTAGATAGTTGTGTTCCTCCACCAGTGGTCTCAATATTTCTACGTGCGTGCAATCGACAGCCCCTATCACACCAGGAAAGTTAAACCTTTCCATAAATCCTTCTTTTATTTCATTTTTGGTTTCTTGTGTCATGGGAAAACGTATCCATTGTTGTGAAAATGTCTCAACAATAGCACTTGTAACCTCTTCAACAGCTCGCGACATGCACTGCTGGGACATGGAAACCTCAAACCCGCGACCTATGACTCTCTGGTAGGCACCAGTACCATAAAATCTTAGGACACCAAAAAACTTCAATATGATAGGAATTGAAACTGGATTAGCACTTTGAATCATGTTGGCTGCAATTCCATTAAAGACATATTGAGCAATGTCTTTATTTAATCTAAAAAGTTCTTTAAATCTCGTATCCTCAATGGAAAAAGGATTGCTTTCGTCTCGCATTAAACGCCTTTCTACATTTTCGAGCCGTATTTCTTCCAGTCTGTCTCCTCGTTCGATTTCCAAAACGTTTAACGCATTTATTGGTAACATCTTAACGCATTCACAAAAAAGATAAACTTAAATAAAAGTTAACTTTAAAATTAAAAACGAACTCGTAACGAAAAATGAAATAAACAAATAATACCAAATACCATACATAAACAACAAACAACCAAAAATAAATTGTCAATGTCAATTGTCAGATAATTAGCATTCACGCAAGCGTCAAATAGAATTCCATACGTCTAGCGATGTAGAAACGAATCTACCCAAATCATCGCATCTTGTCTATTAAAAGGTATCACGGAGTGCCGGATATATAGAATTTTGTCGATTCATCTATATGGTACGGAGTCCCACTTCAGGATTGCTTTGAACGGGATAAATACGCACGGCGCGGCGACATTGCGCTTAGTTTAAAACTGAACGCGTAACCAACGTCCAGCGGTTGGGTTAGTAGAGAACAACAAAAAATAATATTATGACAAGCAGTTGTAAGAAGGTAAAGACATACAACTTTCATTCGGAATGGGAAGAAGAATACTTTTTTACAGAAGTTAAAGATAAAAATGTGTGTTTGTTATGTAATACTTCAGTTAAAAAAGCAGTTAATTGGACAACAATCAATATTTTTAAGAACAGTCGATAAAAATAAGGCTGCAACTGAAGCATCGTACCGTATGTCCCAGGTAATTGCACAAAAAAAGAGACCTTATGAAGACTGGGAAATGATAAAACAGGCGTTTTTAGAAGCTGCTGATTCATTATTTGCCAACTTTAGAAATAAAGACGAGATAGTTTCAGCTATAAAATCTATGCAACTTCCTGCTAATACAGTGATGAGACGTGTAGAAGTAATGAGCAATGATATTTTTTTACAGTTAAGAACTGACTTCTACCCAGAAGAATAACTTCAAAAATCGTTTTAAGGATTTCAACGAAATGGCTTTAGAAGCGCAGTTTGTTGTTTCACCCTTTATGGAAATTGATATCCAACAGTTTGCAACTTGTGTTATGCAGAACTTTGGCGAAGACATCGCTGCAACAGAAATTGAAGTAATTGAGTTTTAAAATGATTTAGCCTTAAAATCGTTAGTCTCAAGTACCAAATGTATCTGGCCTATTGTAAGTAAAGACAAATATTCAGTTCTATGTCGTGTTGCCTTGAAAGTGAGAGCATTATTTAGTTCAACCTATTTGTGTGAATCTTCTTTTCCAAATATCGCAATCGACTTACCGATGAACATTTGGATAATTCTATTCGAATGGCTGTATCAAATTATACTGCAAACATTAAAAAAATTATCGATGAGTCTGAGTGTCAGCCTTCTCATTGAACGTGCTTTTTTATTTTTCAATGTTTATGTTCATGATAGTGCGTTACTTTTTTATTGTTATTATTAACTATTTTTAAATCTTACGTGACATGTCGTTGTGGCTGGATAAAAGTTTGTGTTTATTTTTCAAACACCTTCGTTTGGTAGGTAGGAATGTAGCTATGAACAAGTACGTACTAGTAATATTAGTTATTTTGTTATTAGTTTATTATTAGTACCTATGTATTATGTATTACCAGTTAAATAGTAAAATAAATACATGTAATGATAAATTAACTGTGGATTATTTCATTTACGTTGCGTTACGTGGCTTCCGTGTGGGTAGCTCGCTGTTTATTCCAAAATTAACAAAGTAGCTCAACACATTGAGAGGTTGGCGACCACTGATCTACATCTATTCTTTCCAAATGTTCTAACCAGCTTTAATGAAAAGACTATTTTTGTTTTAAATCTCTTCTAAAACAAAGTAACTAAATTCAATTACGCTAAAGGTATTTTTATCAAAATAACAAGTTTAATTTTCGTTGACACCATTTCTTAATATAAAAACATAAATTAATATTTTGTTCCATCGATCTACCGCAGACACGACAATTTTTAATGAATTAATTTCCATTTAAAATTATACTTTTAATTTGCATTTTATTGGTAATTTAATAATGGTTAACAACGAATTTAATCTTGAAACATTTTATGAACGTTTCCAATGGAATTTTATTTATTTTTTTTTTGAATTTAAGTTAAATTCGTGAATTAGCATCAAATGTAATTTTATTACTACAAACATTAAAATAAATTCTGGGTATAAAAACGTGATATTTTTGAAAACGTTTCGCACATAAATAAAAGAAACTGACTGGCTGTCATCGACGCATTCGGAGAGAACGACAACCATTCGTTCTTTTTTTACCGTAATAAATTAAATTTTATTTAAGATTTCCTGTTGTAGAAAAAATGCAAATCCAATAAGAATATTAAATTAAAAATATTATTTTTAGTATAAATTTTATTAGTTTATAAAAAAATGTGCGTTTAGTTTTAAAAATAAGAAAAATATTAAAAAGAATATTGAGTTAATACATTTTATACATGTTTTATTTTGTACGGGGAAAATAAAATATGGAAAATTGACTAAAAAGTAAAGTATGTATTGTCGCGCAAAAGCGCAAAAGCCTATGAAGCCCTATGAAGTCTACCGCTGGCAATATAGAGACAAACGCACCGCTTCTCGAAACTACCAGATAAAGCGAAAAATATAACACGATTTGAAAAATCGTTTTTTAAAAAAAATATATTTTATTTAAACGGAGTTATAATTATGTCTTTATTAAATGAAAGCTAACATCAGACTGAAAAATGTAAAAAATATTCATTGTTAACACATGTATGCTGATAAAAGAAACTTGAGCTGCCGGCTGGTGGGATTCTTAGAATTTCTGGGCATCTCGGCAGTTTCTGTGATATAATTCCTCCCTTCCCAGAGAGATCCATACAGGGTGTGGGTCGTTATTCGTCTTCTTCGGTATTGATATTGAAAGTGGCTTGTTGGGTGGCAGGTATTATCAATTTTTGATTTCTGGACGTCGATTGCCTAATCTTGAAAAACATGATGATGAGGGCAACAACACCCAATGTCCACAGTGGCGTATACCACAGATGGGTATTGTTTGAAGGGGTTTGAAGACTTATTTGACGAATTCGAATTTGTTCCTTCTGCAATAGGTGGATCTTGTCGAGGGGTATTTCATTAATATCGATTTTTCTGAAATGATTTGACTGACTTTATTTATCTTAATTTCGGGTAGAAGTAAAGGCTGTCCATGAATAACGTCGATGTTATTTGAGTATCTGTTCTTCGGGGTTTGGAAACTGCAACCCTTTGGTACTTCCATAAAATAGGTACCTTTTAAAACTGCGAGATCTGACTTTGCACAGCTGATTTGGATCTTGGTTTCTCGAGGAAATACTGCAATATAGTGGGCAGAATTGATTGGTTCGATTACCTCAGAACTGATTTGGATTGGAGTAAGTTCACATGCAGGAGAGTCTTGATTATTCAATTGTAATATTTGGTGGATACAATCATCTGCATTAGTGTTGTAGTAGTAGTAGAGACAAGACGTGTTTTATATCGCTGTGATATCCCTTAATAAACTAATGTTAAATGTGCATATTTTTAGTTTAAATTTCTATTGAAATAAGCAGAAAATTGAAGCGAAATAGGTG